TCTTCTTCTTCTTCTTCTTTTTTCTTTCTTCTTCTTCTTCTTCTTCTTCTTCTTCTTCTTCTTCTTCTTCTTCTTCTTCTTCTTCTTCTTCTTCTTCTTCTTCTTCGTACCTTCCCGCAAAATATTGGACAAAAGAAAGTCGGCTAGTAGTGTCAACTAAATCCATAGTATTAGAACAAAAGTGATTTAAACGAGGTAAATTACGAATGTATGTTCTAAATCGCCAAGTGTGGGATTGAATATTAAATTAGATTAGATTTATTGTCCCCAGGGGGAAATTCATTTCCACAGCTCTGTGAAAACAAGAGGAAATCGACAAAAAATAAGACAACTACAGATAGCACCACACATGATGCTTACCTGTTATTATTTAGGGCTGCCTGTATGGATCAGGTTTTTGCCAAAGCGAGCCCTTTTACTACAATAATAATATGTTATTATTAGGGCTGTCAGTCGATTAAAATAGTTAATAGCGATTAATCGCACATTTTTTATCTGTTCTAAATGTACCTTAGAGGAATATTTTTCAAGTTTTTAATACTCTTATCAACATATGAGTGGACAAATATGCTTTATGCTAATGTTTATTATCATTTGAACAATGAGAAATATTCTCATGAATATTAAACACAACAACCTCTGAACATTACAAATATTCGCCTCAATTCAACTCAACTCAAGGCATATGCTCGAACGGGAGCTGCCTGGACGCTGCAATCATGTTGCGCGCACTATCCGTGCTGACTTTTCGTACAATGTCCCACTGTCTAGCTTCCTGCATAAAGTCAAGTGCTCGGCGCAGTTGTCGGCGAAATGTCGCTCCTCTGTTTTCATTTAAGGCGAGACACGGCAGGCAAAAACATCGTTTTTCAAGTACTGGTCAATTTTGAGATTTTGTGCTATTTTGATTCTATAACATGTTTTCTTTCAGGCTTTTGGAAGGAAAACGTACAAAATACACATTTAAGTGTTTATTTTACTATAGTTTGTCTATTTGCGTCTGTAGATTTCTCCTAAATTCACCAAAAGTTAGCATTCTAACGTAACATAAAGTACCGCGACCGCTGTGTGCACCATGTCAACAGAGATATCGTTGGAAAGCTGTGTCTCTCCTGCACAATCTCATCGGATCCAAATATGGTCATTTCCTTTGTATCAGCAACCAATCGTGAAAGTACAAAGGGGTCTTAAACCAAGAAACAAAATCTCATGGCTGGTGTCAATTTCTGACAACGTGATTCGTTCAGATGCGTCACGTGGTGTGCTAAAACACTTCCTGGTTAGCTTTCCGCTAGAAATTGAAATCTCAAAATGGCAAAAGAACGGCGAAAAAAACGTTCACAGAGAAGACGACAACAATTGTCACTTGCACGAAGCAAGGTTATACAAAAAACAAATGACCCCAAACATGAAATACCTTCACGGAGTGCGTCGATGCGCAAGCTATCATCCAAAGAACAGGAAGGTTTAGCTAGCGCCTCACTGCAATCTTTAAAGGTAGTTTTCTCAAAATGAGTTTTTTCTCCTACTCTGAGTTCGAAATTTCAACTTCAGTAGCACGTAGAGACACCAAACCTTACAGTTATATTCCTATCAATATTATGAAGGCTTTCACAGAAGGGTTTGTTCATATATCATTCATAGCCTGAATTATACAACATTGTATACCTAAAAACATGTTGAAAATGGATATTTTTAGGCAGTATTTTCTGATTTATGGAGTGATAAAAAGAGATATCCAATATCCCTTCAGTAAAAGCCTTAGATACTAATATGACTACAAAATGAAACAAGAATTTTGAACCTGGCTTTATCCAAAGTTCAGATTTCGATTCCTGAAATATGTTAAAATATGTGCATATTTAATGAGATAATAGTTAATTTGCATATTTAAACATGCTATTTCAGAAAACTTGTAATACAAAAAACAATTGCCTTATTGTAAGTAATTAACTGGAGAAATTTCTAGCTGATACCTTTAAGTTAAAAAAATTACCCTATTCACCTGGGGTGTCTCGCCTTAAACAGCTCCTTATATCCGTTAGCGCAGCTAGCTAGCACCAGATGCTAACAACAATAACAACAATACACGTAAGGTCTCTCTCTCGCGCCTCACATACACGCACCCTCCTGGTCCTCCCGATGGCCAGTCGGTGCCTGCCGGTGAACGTGGAAATGTGGTCTGCCGCAAGCGGACGGCAGGAGCGGGGCTGTCAGCATCAGCTTGTAGATGGTATTTTAAACTCGATGCGCTCTGAAACTACGGGGCGGCCGAGGACAACAAATACACATGCGTTAATCGCGTTAAAATAATTAGTGGCGTTAATTTTTTTTTGTCTTAACAAAACTTGGCTGTGTAGGAATGGATTTCCCATCTCTTCCAGCACTGTCACAAGTGCTTTAACTTCCTTCAGAAATGCTGCTTGTACGCCAGGTTGCTGGTCGTGATGATGGTGCCCAGTGTCACTAGCACTATGCTGTTGCTCAAACTCTGTAGTGATCCTGGACATTTCTGGCCCTGCTACCATCCAGTGTCTAAGTGCTCCTGGATTGCCAGTCAGTCCAATAGCCCCACCAGAACCTTTCACCATTGCATTGTTCTGCTCATGGCACTGGTCGAGTGCCATGGCGGAGAACTTGTTGCTGGTTTTGTGCACCACAAAATGTCCAGACTTGAATTCTGCTAGGACATGTGGATGTTTTTCAGCGAGAGTCATCATGTCACGGATGTTTATGGAAAGCCATCTGGAGTAGTGTGTGTGATCTAGGGCAAACATCCAGGGCATGATCTGTGTCAGGGATTCCACGTACAGCTGGAAGTTACCTTCACGAAGTGACCTGAGCTTATTTTTGGTCCATTTCTACCTTTATCTTCACCTAAATGCATTTTCGTGAATTCTGGCGATCTCAAAAGTATCACCAAATGATTGGCATCCCTAATTTAGTTGGATATGACACCTTAAATGTTTTTCTACAATGTTTGGTTCCAAAATTAAGCATGTTTGAACATTTGACCTGAGAGACTGGCGGCCATCTTGGATTTGACCTCTCACGGTCCTCACAGGTCAAATCTGACTTCCCTCCACATCTGAAAATAAACCTTATGGTATGCACTAACTATGCTAGAAATGTTGTGCTTTTCTCATAAAATGCACAATTGTTGTGCTTATCCGCTGTACTATAATGTGGACCGGAGGGAGAGGGTGACGAGCATAAGTTTCACTTTCATTTTTTATTTTAATTCCAACTTTGGTCATGAAGAATATGTTTCTCTGTTGTCCACGTTCATAAAACAACAGCATCAGAGCACGGTGCAGAGTCTCTAGATGAGTCCGTCGTTCTTATTATACATCCATGTTGTAGTCCGCTATAGAAAACTGTAGTTTCCATAGTTTCCCCACAGCAGCAGACGCACAAAATGACGTCCGCTGAAGCATCATAAACAAGTTGGATAGTGAAAGTGCATTCGGATTCTCTAAAGTACCGCAGTCTCTTCTCCTAAGTCCTTTTTAATTCTCCTATCCACTATCGCTTAACCCCGTGACGTTTCACTCAGAGGTCAAGGAATAGGAGATAGGGTTAGAACTTAGGAGCTGATTTTTAAACTATCCGACCGCAACCCCGGCGTCTGCTTGACGCCGGGACGACCGGCTGCCCTCCCCGACAGGTGCACTGACGCGAGGGCCCGCTCATCACTGCGCGCACTTCTGTGACCGCAGTTTTAATTATTATTTTATCATTATTATTATTATTATTATTATTATTATTATCATCATATCACGTGTGAAAAAGTTATATCCAGTTACATGGCAATATTGGATATTTAAAAACTGTTTATTTGCTGGATAAACTAAGGACTGACTAGTTATTTTATCTACAGTTTCTCAATGGAAGGTTGTGAAATATATATGTTTTATTATGTACACATGTGAGTATTACAGCCGCACTGCCAGCATGGCTTTAGGTTGGTGTTTTGTTTTTATTCTCATGAACTGAATAGTTAGAAAGGCTAACTGATTCAACTAAAATAAATCTCTGAAAGACTTTTGGAACCTTATAAGCATGGAAGGAGCTGCCTTCTCCCTGTCATGTATTGATAGGGAAGATACGTTTATGGGGTAGAATAAGATCATTTCTGGATTCAAATCACACGGCTGCTTTCCTTTGTAATATGATATGATGTTCACTCAATATTGATGCCCTGGGTAAGTATCTTGAGTTTATATAGATATAAAGAAAGGAATTTAAAGAAATAATTCAAGTTTATTTATGTTCTGCGAAAACCATATACTGATGCATGTTCCTGTTTCTGTGGTTTAAGTAGAAACACGTGTATGAAATGAATCACTACAACCCCTCTGTTTCTTGTTTCAGCCTCATCCCGAACACAGATCTGTGTGCCGGTGCTGAGATTCCCAAGCAGAGGGTAAAGTCGTTCATCCAAGCGCTGCTGAGGAAGAACGATCTGGATAACGTGTGTTACCGCTGCATTTTCCAATATAAAAAGCGGCCCAGTTTATTTGAAATATACTCATGTTTTGTGTTTCTCAGTTCCAGACATGCACAGTGCATCACTGTAAGAACTCCTTCGCCTGCAGCTTCACACACACATCAGGCTGGAAGCTGGCCTTCTCCGGCGACACCATGCCCTGCAACGCCTTCGTGCAGACCGGTCAGTGACACTCAGAGAAACGACTGCACGAGGGGGGAAATATGCCATAATGTTGTAAAATTGTTGGATAAATAGACATAAATCAAAGGGGCCTTATTATGCTCTTTGGGGTTCCCCCTTTCCTGTAGTGTGTCCTATCTCTGTGTTCCCTCCAGAGGGAGTTTCTCTCCCACACACTTCAACCCCCCACTCCCCCCCCTGCCTGAAACGCCTCCATTGGACTCCTTAGTTTACTTCCGTAACATAGTGACATCACTACGTAACACTCGCGCTTCTATTGGCTAGCTCTCAACACATTGAACATGGTAGGCTAAGGGGCGGGACATCTCTAAACGGCTGACCAATCACATTAGAGCCGGCCAGCTAACCAATCAGAGCAGACTGGGCTCTGGTTTCAGACAGAGGGTGAAAAGAGGTGCTGCAGCACAGGCAGTATGAGAAAAATAAATATATTTTCGAATATTAAAGAATGGAGACATGGGCGCCTCCCTAGGGAGGTGTTCCAGGCACGTCCAGCTGGGAAGAGACCAAGGGGTAGACCCAGGACCAGGTGGAGGGATTATATCTCTTCGCTGGCCTGGGAGCGCCTTGGGATCCCCCAGTCAGAGCTGGTTGATGTCGCCAGGGAAAAGAAAGTTTGGGGCTCTCTGCTGGAACTGCTACCCCCGCGACCCGACCACGGATAAGCGGGAGAAGATGGATGGAAAGAATGGAGACATGTCACAGTAGAGGCACAAAATACAAATATGAACCTGAAAATGAGGATTATAGGGCCCCTTTAAAGTGTCCTTGGATCTGCTACTTTTACTATTTTTTTTCATAATGTTAGCCATGTCTTTCTTAAAACAAATGGGGCAAGGGCACCAATTAAAAACATAGCAAATCATAGATTTTTCTACTGATCCTGTCTTTAAACTAATTAAAGTGAAACATTATTTAAAAAATATTCCAATAAATAAAAAGGCAAATCACAAAACCAAAACGAACACACAAAAAAGTTAGAGACCGCAACATAAGGCGACAAGAGTCCAAACCTAACATTTCCTAAGTTTTGAACTTACAGCCCAAAAATGTAAGGGCACGACCACATAACATGGCCATATGTCCTACAGCTATAATGATGTATGATATTAAAGTTTCACTCAGGCTCCTATGGTATGTAAGAGCAAATTGAGCATATGCTTTCAATATCCCAGCGATATAAGGTTATCTAGCTGAAGCTTGACTACACGGGTTGGGTCTGAATAATTTATCAGATATTTCTTAATGCTTTCGATCACTCTCGCAGCTGGCAGCCTCCCTAATGGCTCCCGCGGGATCCTTCTTAATTGACTCTTCTTAAATTGCTTGACTGGATTCCGTCCAAGCAAAGCCTCCGATACGTCCCACGCCTGTTCATTACAGACGGCTCGGCAAACAGGGCGCGCCCATGTCTTGATTAGGCCCGACTACCTGATTGATTTCCTGCGGGACAGGAAGTTCTTCTCTGTGATGCAGGCCCTCTGATTGGTTTGTTTTGATTTTGCAGGAAAGGATGCAACCTTGCTGATCCACGAGGCAACGCTGGAAGACGGGATGGAGGAGGAGGCCGTGGATAAAAAACATAGGTGAGAGAAATAAAGTGTCACAAACTGCCTCTGCAGGGCTTTAATGGTGTTTTTGTAAATGAATAAAAAGGCAGTTAGTCAGGCAACATAATAAAAGCACCTAGTTGACTCAGTTTTGAGTGCAATGTAAAACTTCTCCACTTTCCACAGAAATTGACATTGATTTTTGCACCGGTTTTAGTGCCAGAGTGAGAGTCTGTCTTCACAAAAATGTCTTTATGTCCGATAGAAAAGCAATATTCCCATGGTCAGTTTCCCCCTGCAGCTCTTTAGTTTCAGCTTCAGTGAGGAGACAGTACATCTCTGACTCTCTGCTCCATGTTCTCTGACAGCACCACCTCCCAGGCCATCGGCATCGGCATGAGGATGAACGCCGAGTTCATCATGCTGAACCACTTCAGCCAGCGCTACGCCAAGATCCCTCTCTTCAGCGAGGACTTCGACGACAGGGTGGGGATCTCCTTCGACCACATGAGGGTACGTGTCACTGTACAACACCATGGTGTTCATTATAATCATTATAGTCATGCACACGAGGCAGCGTTTCCCCTTTGTGTGTGGAAGAGGAGCAGTTATTTTGGATTGTATTTAAAAACAAAAATATTTAAACATTCAATTTCACATTCTTTTTGAAACCTTATTGCTAATAATACAATACAATACTAAGGGGCTTTGTTGGCATGACCACATTTGAAACATAGTATTGTCAAGGCATTCCGCACAAGGGGTTATAATGTTAACTGCTAATATATGTGTACAAAAAGCCAAAGCAAAAACTCCCCACAACAATGGAACAATTTGAAATAATAAAGTAGCACAATATACTTTTTACTCCTTTACGTCTTCTTTTTTTGTATTTTGTATTTAATTATTTGTTTGTTATTATAGTTGCAACTAATCACAATGATGGCAGGACACACCCTGCATGTTTTATCTTAGTTAAGCCCGGATTGGATGTCTCTCATCTATGCTTTGTGTCTTTAAAAAAAAAAAACATGACAGCCATCTACTGCACTGAATCACACATTCATTTCAGAGTTGAGAAGTGTTTTTCTGGTCCAAATTATTGCACCTGAATGCATCATTTTAATAGCATTTAGACAAAGTTTTCTGTTGTTTATATTCAACAGAGGTACAGTATCTTTGTATTGTAATACAAAACAGATTCTCTCTGTTGCACAAGTATCAAAAACGTTTTAAACCGGTATCCAAAGGGGAGATTCCCATTCTTGTTTTTTCTGATCTAAAATCAGGAAAGTTTTAAACATTAATAAGTTTAAATATGCAAACACAAGTTCTGAGTTGTATTATCCTCAATCTAAGAACACAAATAAATATATGAAATATATGAAATACTGTGGGAGCACTTTTCCATTCTCTCTGGCTTAACAATTATACCTCCATAAATATGTTCCTTGAGTGAATCATCGCCTATCAGTCGACATAAATAAATACCTTGTAGAATACACAAGCATTAATACAAAACATCCACAATAATATACAGTGTTTGTTTAAACAGTTGAAGGTATATTCTAACTAAAGCATTTGTACACAGCCAGTTTATTTGTATAGCACCACTGCCAAACTAAGTCAGAAAATGTCAAACAAGATATGACGCGATAAACGGTCAATTAGACCAGTGGTTCCCAAACTTTTTGTGCCCAAGGCACACCAAAGGACAAGTACAAATCTCAAGGCACACCTATTGTGCAAAATAGCCCTTATAACACGTGTTATCACTCATATCATGTAAAATATCTGTAAATGTGCATAATTATTTACTAATGCCAAATAAAATGTGACAAAGACAACTATATTACTCATGAAATATTTATTAACGAAATATTTCAGAAATTAATTTGAAACTTTATCAAATTAGGCTTCATCAAAGCAGCAACACACTCATTTAAACCAGACAGGTCACAACATTAACATTTCAGCAATCAGCATTGAAACATGCTATTGTAAATATTTTTGCCGACTTACAAATTAGTGAGATACATGTGCCTGTCGGGGCGCACAGAATTTTGTAATCCTTGGTGGCACTGAGGAGAGGGCCACTCGCAAGTCCTGTTCAACAGAGAGCCGTGAGTCCCGTGACCTCCTGTTGTTCTTCATATAAATCAGAGTAGAGAACGCCAACTCCAGAGATGGGGTCGTTACTATTTTTTAAAAATATATTACATATTACTTTTAAAAAAGTAATATATTACACTACTTCGTTACTATCTACATAAAGTAACTCGTTACTTTACTCGCCGAGCACGTACGAACTTGCGCATGCCTGAGTGGCAATAACTTTCCTTACCAGCAGGCGGCGGGTAGTGTGTATTTGTCGTTCAAAACAGGCAACAACCGGAAAACAGAGAAGAAGAATAGACAACGTGATATAAACAAACAACAAATAGCTGTGCACCTTAGCATGTGTTCTTTGCAGGTGTTTGTTGAGGTTTGACCACGTGGTGTTTCCAGCAGTGGATAACAGCTTCTGGCCTGGACAGTTTGCACCTCACCGTCACATTCCTGTCTATTCTTCGGACGAACTCAAAAATAATGGGCATACCTCCACCCCTCGAAAGTTATTGCTGACTCAGCCATGTTTATGCAGCACTGCACGTGGAGATGTGGACGCGCAAGTCGCGCAGATTACGTACATATAAACCTACAAAGTACTGATATTATAGTAAATAAAAAAATAATTCTTTTTGTGTAGTTGTATATTGCAATAATAACGTATGGTTGTCACAAAATCCCACGGCACACCCGGACTTGCCTCACGGCACACCAGTGTGCCGCGGCACACCGTTTGGGAACCATTGAATTAGACAATAATACACTGTGGCCCATAGCAATGACGGTACGGTAAGAGCTATGCTAGTGCTACATATGATGTACAACAAGAAACGTTTTGAGCCTCGATTTAAGAATTTCACACAATAAATCGTCTGCAGACAGTTTGCTTGCACTCCTGAGCTTTATATTGTTTTCTTCCACTGCTGAGTCCCCGTCCTCAAGTACATGAAGATGCTTTCCTTTGTTAAAAGCCACTGGAGTTATATTTCACCCCATTTACTTGATCCACTTTATTTTTGTTTAGATGCGCTTTGAGGACTTTAAAATCCTTCCCAGGCTCATCCCAGCTCTGAAAACCCTCTTTGCCGAGGACATCGGTGAGATGGAGGAGAGGAGAGAGAGGAGGGAGCTGAGAAACCTGAGAGGAAGCAGCTCCGAGGCGTCCAGCGAGCAGAAGATGGCCGACGAGGGCCGAGGTGCCAAAAGAGACCAGGAGGAGGCAGCGCCGCGCAGCGTGGAGACCAAGAGGCTGAAGACCGTCTGAGGCTGAGGGATCAACTAACACTTTCCCTGAGAGAACTCTTGAGTTTTTTTATTTAAATCAATTTGAGTTTTTGTGTGCTTGTGTGGTTTGAATCTAGAAAAATCGTGTATATTTCCTGCAATGCAGTGTATAAAGCTAAGCTACAAATATAGTTTTTGTTTTTCATTTAATGAAATAAAGTGATACCACACAATCTGTAGTTTTCTACAATTATGTCTTGGTCACCAGTGTCAGAGAAAACAAATGACACGTGCTGTCATGTAAAACATTAACAAATATATTATATTTTAGGCCAAAAAAAACTTTACGATACAGTTTAGTTTACTATAAGATACTATAAAAATCAACCTATAAGATCTACTCAAAATGGGGGTAACAATTTGCACACTTCTTTTGAGTAGATTTTACCCAATGTTTTTGGGTAAAGGTTACTAATATTTAATATATAAGACTTACTTTAAGAAATTAAGTAAAATCTAACTAAATTACTTAAAACACATTACTTATAAATGAGTAATATTTACTCCTAATCGTAGGCAGCTATTTACTTAATAATTTATCCATATTACACATTAATATTACTTTATTAAGGTTACCAGTAAACAATATATTGCCACACACAAGATTTTATTGACCAAATGTATAAGTGCAATATGGTCATACATTGAGATTATTTAAACAGTTAAGTGCATTTCAATTGTTAACACTGAGCAGAATCTTCAAAATAGTCATACAATCACATTGTTTTAACAGTAAAGTGCATTGAAATTGTAATTTTTTTTAAACATAATCTTCCAAGTGCAATTTACTCAACTATTAAAACCTTTACGTGCCAGTAAACAGTCCACTTTTAACAAAAAAAGGTTTCTCCACATCCATTACATTTCACATCACATTATTTTGTGTTTGTGTCACTCTGCACTAAAACAAGTCAACATCCACTTCAGAACAAATTGTTTATTTGAGGCTCTGGACCTGTTTGAGCAGCTTGGCTCCATCAAGCTCCAAAAACAGTTTTTAGAATACCTCAAATGTGTATTTGAGCTTGTTGGGGTATTCCAGGTTGAGGGTGTAGAGATGAATCCCATCAACAATGCGCATGCCTTTGTTTGGTTTCCGCACAAAACTCTGTCTCCCTCTATGACAATGGACACATCTGCTGGTCCCCTGTCCCTGGCATCACGGATCACAAGCACCTTCATAGTTTGGTCCATGACGTTGTCATGCTCGTCCTCCATGTTGAAAAGAAAGAAGAAAAGCATATTAACAAGAAGCTATTATACAATATAGTGTGGTCTAGCATTAAGCCTAATCAATAAAACCAGGAATTGACTTTTTTTTAAATGATTTGAAAAAATGTGTGGCAGCGATTACAAACTAAAAAAGATTTCTAACTTATATATAAAATGTCAGGCCCAGTCAAATTGCCCATCGATCTAATCAATGACATTAAATTGATTCTTATTATTATTATTGATTTTTCATAAACATAACTTTTCAGTGCATGATTTTATTTATCTTATTTCACTAAAAGAAGGTTTTTGTTTTTAGGTAGTTTTATATGTTAAGTAGCTAAGCACATCAGTACATTATCCATAAATCATTTTCCTGTGAATGCTAAACCATTTATAAAAACAATAAGATGTTTACAGATTTACAGCAATAAATTGCATATTTATTTGTTAGGTGTAAGAGTGGTTAATCCGAAATAACTCCGTTAAAATCTTGAAGTGATCAGTCTTTAATGACATACCTGGTTGTCTTGAAAAAGGTCTTCTTGGCGTTCCCCAAGGTCTTCAATCAGACACCTGGCCACTGCATCCCTTTTTTTCAATACTCTGGGCCTGTGAGGAAATGCATTTTAGTGAGAAGACTTATTTCTGCATTTTCATATTCTTGAATGAAACATTTAAATAAATGTACCTCATCAATTGTGCTCAGAAGAGGGCGCATCCTGGAGCCAGCATCTCCTTTGGCACGCATCAGCTGGAGCGAGTGGTGTAGTCATGGGCGTCGCCTGGGGTAGGCACCCGGGGCTTTAGCCCCGGATGTTTTTTCTTTAGCCCCGGACAAATTCTCCCTCAATAATATAATACATTAACCGTACTTTACCTAGAGAGGATGGCAGAATTGTAATTTCCCGTGTTCAGTGAATGCAACAGAGGCAACCACCAGACCAATCAGAGAGTTGTATGGAAATAAACGTGTTTTATTGGCTGACCTCTCTTCTGTGACAGTGTTTACACTTTAAACTTTCAGCCGCGGACGCGGAGTTTCTGAAGATGGACATTAGACATTTTTTAAATAAAAAATACGGCAATTCTCAAGTGGTGGCTCACACAACAACCCCAGAGCAGAGCCACCACCTGAGCCAGGTGAACAAGGTATGTAAATGTCAGTAAACTTACAAGTTATGTCAACATGTAAGCAAAGCATAAATTATAGCTACGTTGACGTTACTTTGAATCGCGGGGGTAAGCTAAACCGTTAGCAAGTAGCTATAGCTAGCCAGATATATTAAATAAACACTTTGTCATAAAATCTAAATGTTGTGTTTTTTAGCGTTACCTGGTGATTTAAAAGAAAGCTCTCTGGGAAATGTTGACTTACTGTGAGTGTTCGACATGAAGCTAGAAGCTCAAGCTACCTTACAGTACACAGTTGATTCCTGAGTCCTGTCAGTTAAAGTGTTTCATAGTTAGCTTAGCTAAGCATCAACCTAGCACTGAAATATATGGATGTTATGTGACGGTATTTCTGAGAAAAAGTCAGCTGCAATGGTGGCATAGTTGCCACTGCTTTACGTGTCAACAGCATGTTTGAACGTATTTGCAGCAGTAAATGTGGCTGTTTGGCCACTGACGTTGCCATAACAACACCTGAATTTAAATGTACAACTCTTTTTGTGACAGATTTTTGCATGAAATTATAATTCTTCTGATTGATATTTCCTATTGACAGCTAGTTTCTATGTGTACATTATGAGATGGACAGCCAGCTAACAAGCTTTCAGATCAAAACCAATCAGGTGGGGCTCCTGAAAGGGGGCAAGGGACACTATGCTCCCAAATATTAAGCCTTGACCCCCATCTTAAAATTGATATGATCAAAAAATGATCTGCATTGTCGGAGGCCTTTTTTCCTCATTATCATGTCAAATTGTACAGCTTTCCTTAGTGTTGAATGCAGAAAGATGACTATATTAGAGTATTAAGTGAAAATGACTATTAAAGTGTGAAGTGAATATATTAAGTGAATTACTCAAACTGCATTTGTATAGGAAATGATTCTGTCCTATTGGCAGATAACTACTCTAACAGTGATATCTACAAGAGATGTACATTTAACTATTTTTAATTGGTTGGTATTACATTTTGTGACAGTGTGGTGACACTCATTTTAATGAAGACAAATGTGTGTATCTTGAAATTCATTTATTTGACAACGCTGGAAACTGATTGACTTACATACTTGTTTGTGTTTACCTACACAGTCATCACAGATGAGCCAAACAGAGGATGAAGAAAGGAGAACAGGAGAAAGGGACACACAAGAAGGAGATACAACAGACAAGAACGACAATGGAGACAACAATGAACAGGAACACCAGAACAGACAAGAGTCAATGGGTAACATGACTGATTTAGGGACTGCAGATACAGGGCCAAGGCAAGTGAGACATCACTGCTTTCCATCCAGCATGTTTGGCCAGCAAAAGAGATAATTTCAACCGCAAACAGCAAGTGATGAGGGAAGCCGCAAGTGAGGAGGGATTATTATTTCCTCCTTCCATCCCTTTTTTCTGTTTAATATGATTACTAACAACTTCTAATAATTTGACAGTTTATGATTTAATTGGAAAATAAAGTGTTTTTAAATAATAAACCCGATTCTTTGATTTTTGTTGACATATGGGTGTTGAGAGATGTATCCATATCTCTTAATGTTGCTCTCAAAGTGCACAAGATTGATGCTTTTAACTTCAACATTTAAAAAAATTCTTCCTGGGGGACCCCAGAGGAGGTGAGTTCCCTCAAAATAGCACTTTATCTCTGCTTATGTAACTCCGGTGTAGTGTCCCCTCGGCAACAGATCACTCAGAGCTGGTGATTACTTTCCTGCATTTCAATGGACAGCATAAAAGGACACGTGAGCTGGGTTCTGGTGCTCAGATTAGCTATTGATAATCACATTGATAAATCATATAAAACCAATCACACAACAACATGTTGCTGTGACTGTGAGCATTAAACAATTAACATTAAACTAAACAAACACAACAGTACGTTATTGTCCTTATAAAATAAAAACATACATTTTGTCCACCGAGATAATACAGGCACCTTACCCTCAAGAGATCCTCACGTGCTATGAGAATCTCCCACAATCCATTGCCGTAACAAAGCTAATGCAGACACACGTTTGTGACACCAGATGGCGCAATTGTGTATGTGCGTGTGGGAAATACAGTAGAAAATTCGACTGTAGCGCTGCCACTGTGGGCTAAGCCCTGAATGTTTCCAGGTCCAGGCGACGCCCCTGCGTGTAGTGTTGCCAACTTGGCGACTTTGTCGTTAAATTCGGCGGCCTTCCAAACCCTCCGGCTACTTATTTTTGTCAAAAGCCACTAACGACTGATCTAACGACTTGTAATGCTATTATTAGGGACTTTTCTGGTGTTTGGAGACTCACGTATTGTTCAGCAGTTAACGAGCCGCGGGTGCTGCCGTGAGCCCCTCTGCCCCTGCTCTGCCCTCCCATAGTACTCACAGTCACAGGCGCTAGTTGCCTCCCGCAGCAGCTCAGCTGCAGTCAGGGCAGAGAGGAGACAGCCACACTAGTGATGTGTCGGTCGCGAACGAGCCGGCTCAAAGAGCCGGCTCTTTTAAGTGAACGACGGGAGTCGGCTCTCGCCCGCGAACCAGAGCCCTAGAGATCTCTCTAGGGCTGCTTCTCAGGTCGACTATTTTCATTTCCTCGCTCCTCGGTCTCACCGGAAGTTGATTTGCCTGCGCCATCTTGAGTACCGTCCCATGGCTCTTATTTCTGCCGGAGGACCGATGATCGAGGAGCGATAATCGAGGAACCACCAGACCATCCTCCGATGAAATCCTCAGATACTCGCCCCGCCCCCTTACTGTGTATCGCTCACTGATTGGACGATGCAGTGCATGCACTGATCTCATGCTTCTTGA